GTGTTTTTTTTAAATTGCAATTAGTGTCAATGTATAAATAGTCAAAGAGTTTGTTACCTCTTACGTGGAACCACTGACTAGGCTAGATACTGTCAAAAGTCCTGCGTAACAAGGTAATGGAACTTTATAAAGATGGAAAAGGATATAAAAAAATGTCCAAAGCCTTGAATATGCCAGTCATCACTTCCACTAAGAAGTAGAAAATTCAGGGACCTCTTGATACCAAGCCAAGTACAGGTAGACTAAGAAAGATTGCAGCCACAACTGCCAGAAGAATTGTTCGGGATACAAAGGAAACCCATAGGTAACCACAAGAAAAATAAAGGCTGCTCTGGAAAAAAGACAGTGTAGTTGTTTTGAAGGAGCACAATAAGATGACACTTGAACAAAAATGAGCTGCATGGTCGGTCGCCTTTATGTCAATGACACAAAAAGGCCTGGTTAGGCATGTCAAGGTGTTGTCAGGCATATTGTAACCGGGATTTTTTGTGGCATTGGTGCAGTAAAAGCTTCTTTCTGGCACCTCGACCAAACAGCTCATTTTTGTTCAAGTAACACCGTATTGTACTCCTTAAAAAACAACCACTCCATCTTTTTCCAGAGCAGCCTGTATTTCTTTTGAGGTTGCCTGTGGGTTTTTCTTTGAATCCCAGACAATTCTTCTGTCAGTTATGGCTGCAATCTTTCTTTGTCTACCTGACCTTGGCTTGGTATCAAGAGATCCCCAAACTTTCCACTTGTTAATAGGTGATTTAACAGTACCTATTGGCATATTCAAGGCTTTGGACATCTTTTTATGTCCTTTTCCATCTTTATAACGTTCTATTACCTTGTTACGCAGGACTTTTGACAGTTCTTTTCTGAACCCGTGGCTCAGTATCTAGCCTAGTCAGTGGTTCCACGTAAGCGCTAACAAACTCATTGACTATTTATACACTGACACTAATTGCAAGTTAAAAAGCCACAGATTAACCTCTAATTGGCTAGGTTCACATCTATACAGTTTGCGTTTGATCTGTTTCTGCAGTGCGTTTTTGCACATGTGTTTTTTTTTTTTCCTGTTGCTAGGCAGATTTAAAATACATCTAAAACACAGCAAAAGCACACTACATGTTTTTCTGCAGCATTGAAGTCTATAGAACCAAGAATGCAACTTTTTGCGTTTATAAAAGTCTCTGACCCTTTCCAAATAACATACCAGGTGAAAACACAGAGATGTGAATCTGTCCTCTAGGAAATCAGGTGTGAACCTAAAGTTAACCCTCCAGCAGTGTGCTGTCACTGATGACTTGCTTCTATCTTCACCTGGTCATCCTTCCGGGTTTGTGGGCTGTGGCCGCTTGATTGGCCAAACCGCAATTACGTTAGGGTTACTGCTTAGACCTGAAGAAGGGGACATTACCCGAAAGCTTGTCCTCAAAATTGTATGTTAGAGCAAATAAAAAAAGTATCATGGACAATACTCAATTGTTTGTCACCTCATCCCTTTAAAATCAAACACATTAATTACACGTTGTGAGGCTAATTTAATGCAGAAAAGGCACTGAGTTTAATTAACACCTTTACCAGCCACAGAAACGGTGTCATTAATTTGTGTTTGGTTTTAAAAGGGTGAGGCTTTTTTAAATTATGTTTAGCTATTTTAAAAGGGTGAGGCGGCAACCCTAAATTATGTTACTCCCACACATGTGCGCAGAGTCTCAGCTGCAGTACAGAACTCTGAAGGAACACAATGGGTATGTCGTTCCTTCAGAGCACATGCACCAGAGACGTCATGGGCTGCAAAGACTCTGAATATGGCCTAATGTTGCATGTACCTACAGGAAAGCTTTATTAGAAGCCTACCTTCAGGTACAAGAGTCCAGAGGGAGTTTACTTTCACTTTAATGATTTGCATACATGCTATGTTCCACATGGCGTCCCTAAGTCCTGGGTTTCAAAGCTACACTTCTACCTCCCCAGTAACCCCATTACCACTTCTCCACCCCTTCATGTCCTCTGGTCAACCTGGAAAACTGTCACAATGCGTCATATCTATCATTCCTGCTCCACACTCCACCCACACAGCTAAACGAAGCGAAGACGCATGCCCACGACGTCATTTCCGCCTTCCCATGATTCCTGGTCAGCGCTCAGCACGATCTTCATTTTCCCGGCTCTGTAACGTTGAGCAGCACCCGTTGCTGCGCAGACCGAATGACAGGTGAGTGGAGAACCGGAAATGCCATGCGACTGTTTACATGGACGTCACTTCCGTCCTACGGTCAATGCTCGTGTACGGTGGTGATTGATTTCGATGAGCGCGCGTCGCTGGAGAAAGGCGAGCCTGGTGTGAGCACATCCTGGCCATTGGAGCCACAGCTGTGAGGGCTGTTCTGATCAGGCAGAAGGTGAAGGGAGTGTGGAAGTAGCGGAGCGCTGTCTTTTCTAGTTCCTTCAGTATCTAGGCTGTATTTGTGAATGAGGAGGTTCCCCTTCCTTGTTAATACAGCATCACTTGCTGGGCACCTCACGTGGGGGCTGTGCTGTCTATGGACTTGGTTGATGTTTGGGAAGTGACCCATTGCCCGGTGAATTCCCGTGTGCTCTGATTCATGCTTGTGATGGACAGTTCATGTCAGTGGATAGCTTGGCTTAGGTCCTGGTTCACACTGATGCAAGTCTGGTTCTAGGACGCATAGGAGACGTCAAGGGAGATAACATGGCTTTCTCTGGTGGCCGTTCACACTTATGCATTCCAAATGCAAGTTCCAACAAGGTCCTGTGCATGTTTGGAGTGGTTTTGAGCCCCATAGACTTGATTTGAAACACTGAAAACTCATAAGTGTTCAAATGCAATTTGAGTGAGATGCATCTATTTCTGATGTCACAAAATTAGTTAGAACAGAAATCGCAGCTGTGTAGAATTGCACCGTAACTGCTCCTGAAATCGCACTTGAAACCCAGTAGAAGTTGCACCGCATCAGTGTGAACCAGGGCTAAAGTGGTTTACAGCTAAAGCCTAACTCATTTTAAAACTGCCCCCCCCCCCCAACACTTATACTAACTAATCCCTGTAAGAAAAATGTATATACTTGTCTGTTATCAGCCTGCTTTGATTTGGTCATGTGATCCAGCTCCCATTTCAGCTGCAGGGGAGAGGAGGGATGGCAATCAACTGTCCCAAGGAAGCCTATAGGTGATGTCATCACTCTCAGTTTTCCCAGCTGTTTTCGGGTGCTTTCCTCGCCCCTGTAGCCGCTGGCTGACACCGGGGAGATCATGTGACAGGACCGGAGCAGGCTTTACACAGGTTGGTTAGTATAGGTTTTAGAAGGGGGGAGGGGACAGTTTTAAGACTAGTTAGGCTTTATCTGGAATTTTACTTTTACTACATTTCTTTAGTAACCTCCCCCCGGCCTCTCCTCATTGGTTCACTGGCTGTGACTGACAGCAGTCAATGGGCTCCCAGTGCTGTCTCAGACAATGAGGGGGGAGAGTCCCCAAACAGCAGAGGCTGTCGTGAACGTCGCTAGATCGTGGGCTTAGGTAAGGATTGGGGGGGGGAGGGGGGCACTGCACACAGAAGGATTTTTACCTTAATGCATAGCATACATGAAGGTAATAAAACCTTGAGCCTTTAGAACCACTTTGAAGTCTCTGCTCAAACTCCTGTAAGTCCATCTGGTGATTCCTGCAGTGAGTGCTGGCTGCGCAGGAGTCCATCTAACTCCTTACATACTGTGGATATGCATAGTGAGAGGGCCCAAACACCACACACATAGCAAAGCCAAATCCAAGTATTATGTATAGCCATAGAAATAATATTGACGGATAAGTCCTCCTTCTGCAAAAGAATAATAAATGCACCTACATTTGCAGAGAAAAAAATGTGCATTAGTTATTTTTTACATGTAAGCTAGCAAAAGCATTGCAAGCATGATTGGGGGGTCATGGGTACAATGCCATGCTTCCAGCAGACTTCCTCCAGTTGCATGATTGCACCAAAGTATGGACTTTTAGTTAAAGAGCTTGGGCAAGTGTCTGTGCACTATGAGTTTGGTAATCACAGTGATTTATTTAATGACTACAAGCCCTTCTACTGTGGTGGCGGATGGTATTTGTAGTTTATTCATTTACAAATCTGTGTGAATGACTGATGAAGCTATGTGAGGGTAGTCAAGTCCATCATTTTATACCTTGTTACACCCATTTTGTTTGGGTGTAGCATAGTGCCAAACTGCCTTCACCTTAATCCTCTCACAGAGTTCAGGAGCACAGCTGTTGCTGTTACTTTTTACATAGCCGTTGGGAAGAAGGACCCCACACTCTGTAAGAGGAAGGTAGGGGCACCTTGGCACCATGTTATTCAAGTATTTAGGGTGTAACATGGTGCCAAGCTGCCCCTCTCCTATATCTTACAGATTTCAGGGACTCTTCTTTTCAGCGGCTGGGACTTGGTCTTTAATTTAGTAGTGCACTTCACTGTGTGAAGCTTAAATGGGGGGTTGTATATGATTCTAGAGCCTGTGATTGTGTTAGTATTTTATGTTAAAACTGAAAACATGAAAATCAGCACAAGGGATATAACTTATAGTTGATATGATAAGTCTCTTGTCCTGCTTCTTCTACATCCAGTAGCATCTGCCCTTTTCTGTCCCATCCGCTGTTCATAGAAGCCATAGTACAGCTTCTATGAATCACACAAGATCTCTAAATGGGGATGGGCAGATGATAGATGGCTCTCCTCAACTCCATTCAGAGATCCTGTGTCATTCATAGAAGGTGTAAAACAGCTTCTATGAATGGCAGGAAAGGGACAGGCATAGTTGAGTTCTCTTGATGAGAACTCCTGATAGCCCTTTAGCAGTATTAATTCCAGCTGTACTGGAAGGTTGAAGGGGGTGAAGGACAGATGCAAGCAGAAGAATCAGGACAAGGAACACATCATACTAACTTTAAGCTCTGTCCCTTGTGCTGATTTTTCTGTTTTTAGTTTTAGCTAAACTTTGGACTTTGAAATGTTTTGTGAATGCCCTACCTTATATATATTTTTTTCCTTAGACCATGAAGCGGGTACGCACAGAGCAGATTCAGTTGGCAGTAACTTGTTATCTCAAACGCCGTCACTATATAGATATAGAAGGATCCCTAAAGCAAGGACTATGCGGCTTTGTCAGACTGCAGAGGAGATGGCAGCTAATCTTACTGGTAAGCTGATAATTTGTTGCAATAGTGTTGTCACCTAAACTTGGAGTTTTATTTCTCAAATCATTCTGCAGGATGGTTGACTGAGGATGGCTATGCCCACTTGTAGGAAACACAAAACTAGTTTAAAGGAATTTAAAAGGGCTCACAGGAGCCAGCAACCTCAGATGTTGTGTTTCTTCTCTACCTTCACACACAATGTCCTGTTTCTAGTTTTTCTCCCTCTGCTTTGCCAGCTTAGGTTTGTTGAGGCAGACCAAATGGTACTGTGGTCCAGAGGTGAAGGGACCATCCCTGCAGTGGGGAAGTCCAGTCTTCGTGGCCAGTCAGAGCATTGGTGGCAGGAGGTACAAGTGCTGTTGCTCACCAATGCTGAGAACCTATATGGCATGTTCCAGTCATGCACTTCTAGCTCATCAGAGCAGGGGCCGCTTTAGGAAGATGTCAGGAAGTGACACAGCAATGCCCATTACATCAAAGATGTGGGTTGGTGGAACCAGAGGCTTTTTTGTCAGTGCTTCTGAAGAGAAGAGAACATGGCATTGGTGCAGGTATCTGCAGTGAAGCACTGGGCAGGATCAGGACAAACTTGTCTACCCAATCTCAGAGGTTAGCATACTGAGGCTTTGGCTACAGTGAACTCAAAGGTTGCAGCTGCTGCACAGCAGAGCAACAATTCTATAGTCATCTGGGGGTCAGCTCTATGTCATTTGTTGTGGTGAGAGATGAAGGTTATTTTCAATTTTCTCTCTTTTCCCCTCAGGCCCCATTCACACTCCGGTGCTCTGAAAATGTGTGCAAAATTGTGCTTTTCTGCCCGCACTTTTAGAAGTGATGCAAAACACGTGTCACACTTGCGGTACCAATATTTCTTAATGGCACCCCAAACGCAGTACAATTTTGCCACGCAACAAAGTGCCTGACGCTCCACACTTGAAAAGGTAAATGGGTTGTTTTAATGCAGGACATGCAGAAACGCACTACAATTGTGCAAAAATGCAAGCAGGAAAGCGCGTTCCCGCAATGCAAAATGTAAAGTAGTTTGCCCACCAGTGTGTACAAAGGTGAGACGTTTGACGTTTTTAGCCTGTGATATTTGTGAATATCTTTTCGTACTTAATAAATTTTGTGTTCTATTGTTATTACCCTATATTGGGTTGCTTCTCTTCCTATTATTCCTGAGGTGAGCTGTGCATCCTAGAGTACTGGCTGTGCTCCGGAAGGAGAAACATGTGGAAGCATAGAGCGGATCCAGTGGAGTTTAATCCCTTTCACAAGTGCATTTGGACTGTTTATAATATAGAGATCATATATTTCTGGGCAGCTTTGCATTCTAGGATATTGGCTGTATTCCAGAAATACAAGGAGACATACAGAATGTCCGGTGGGGGTTAACCCTCTTCACAAGCACGTTTGACCTCTATAACGCAGAGGTCATATATTTCTGGTAAGAAGTTGGCACTTTTTGTGGTCTGCAAAGTTGGGAGCACTAAATGCTTGATTTCAGTGCATGCATTGGCAGCCCTTTGGGCTATTTGTGGACATTCGGTGTGGATTTAATGTTCGTGTAATCAGAACTTTGAAATTATTTTTATGTATTAGATGTAAGCACAGCAGAAAAATATTTTGTTGTGCACAAGTATACGCAGTCGCAGACTGGTTTAAATATGTTTTGCACACTGTATTAGTTTTATAGCTAATATTCTTTAATCCGGATATACGTAGTGCTGGAATTTCGCAGTACATGAAGCAAATTCGATTTTCTGTTTTTGATAGTGTGTACTTGCCTCAGTCCAAAGCACATATTATGATTTTCGTTTGCTGCCTGCTCCGCTATCTGAGTCATTCTTGACAGCTAATGCTGATTCCAAGGGATGGAGGGGACAGAGGGGAGTTCCAGCACGCAGCCTATTGTTGACAGGCTGAGCTGTGCATGTTTCCCTATGACCTTGTATGTAGGGGAGTGTGTCCATTTCTCCACAGAGGCCTCAATTTACAATTGGCTCCCTGCAGTGTGTGATGTCAGATATCTGTCCCCTGACTGCTAGAGCTCAGAGATGCTGTGTAAACTGTGTGCTTTTAGGAGGCTGTAAAGGGAAGACGATGCAGATAAACAGGTACAACTTATGTAGGAGGATTTTATTTTTAATCTTGTGAATCACCAAGGCTAGACATTTCACTTGGTATACGTAAGAGTTTACAACAACTTAAAAGAAAACCTATCTTTATGTCCTCATTCACAAATACTACCAACAAATCTTACACTTTGCCATCAGGAATTTGAAAAACACGTATCAATTCCATTATTATATTATTATACAGTATTTATAAAGCGCCAATAGTTTGCTCAGAGCTGTACATTACAAAGGGAGACAGAACATGCAACAGTACAATAACAATACAATGTGATACACGAGGGGTTCGAGGGCCCTCCTCTTTCGAGCTTACAATCTAGGAGGGAGGGGGGATAGTGGTACAGGAGAAGATAGCTGTGGGGGATGGAGTAGTTGGAAGAGTGGAGGAGATCGGCAATTAGCAGGGGATGGGGTAGGCTTCCCTGAAGAGGTGGGTTTTCAGGGTGCGCCTAAATGAGAGGAGAGTAGGTGATAGTCTGATGGATTGGGGTAGGGAGTTCCATAGTATGGGTGACACCCTGGAGGCGGGCATGGGAGGAGGAGACTAGGGAACTAGAGAGACGGAGGTCTTGAGAAGAGCGGAGTGTGCGTGATGGGTGGTACTGGGCTATTAGGTCGGTGATGTAGTTTGGGGCAGTATGATGGACAGCTTTGTACGTCAGTGTTAGGATTTTGAATTTGATCCGTTGTGCATTCGGAAGCCAGTGGAGGGATTGGCAGAGGGGGGTGGCGGAAACGGAGCGGTTGGTGAGGTGGATGAGTCTGGCTGCCGTGTTCTGGATTGACTGAAGTGGGGATAGCCTGTGGCGAGGCAGGCTAGTGAGGAGGGAGTAGTTGCAGTAGTCGAGTTGTGATATGATGAGGGAGTGGATGAGCTGTTTAGTGGTTTCTGGGGTTAGGAATGGGCGGACTTTGGCGATGTTGCGGAGGTGGAGTCTGCATGAGTTAGTGATTGGACTTGGGGCTGGAAGGATAGGTTGGAGTCTAGAATGACCCCAAGTACTCCGGCCTGCGGGGCGGGCCTGATAGTGGCATTGTTGGACGTGATGGAGAAGTCAGTGGGGGGTGGTGTGTGGACTGGGGGGAAGACTAGGAGCTCGGTTTTGGAGAGGTTCAGTTTAAGGAGCTTTTTCTTTTGGATTACCCTTGATGCCAAGAATTCTCACTAAAATCATGTCAGAATTGATGGTCACAACTCTGGGGATAGGGTATGATTCTTGTGTGGATTACTTTCTGCTGCTTGTACCCTCATTGAAAGAAGTGACAAGAACTATTCAACATACCACTACATTTTTTTTTAGGAATTGGGATGGCTGTTGTACTGAGAGAAGAAACCAAGAACAAACAACTGTATGCTTTGGAAACAGGCTGTATTCAGTGTTACTTTTTGTATCCTATATTGTGAACCAAGTAATCCAAGAAAGGAAATCCAACTCTCTGACGATGATGAAGGCCATGTCTTGGCCTTGAGTCAGAAGGAACACCTCAGATTGTAACTGGGACAAGTAAGAACCACTGTGGATGCCAGCACCTAGGGATGAGGGGCAAATTTGAAAAAAAAAAGACCTTGGTCAAGGCAAAAGCAATAACCCAGCTCTTGGCTCAGTCCTTAAGAGTAAGGAAACTCCCAAGTAGTAGAAGTCCTTTACTCCTGCTAAATATCACAATAGGGGCATACCTTAACAGCCAGGTAATCTCTGCATAGGACTGCGGATCCCCATGCAATAGGCATAGAGAGATCTGCAATGCCCAACCGCAAATAACGTTAAGGGTTCTGAAAATTACATGGCAGAACTTCCCTGAGAGTGGGACCCAGAGATATTTTAGCTCCTAGTTATATGCTGGGTCCTTTCTCAGATATGCTTGCCAGAGCACAGAACAGGAGACTAGAAATCCACTAGGCCTGGCTGCACTAATCCACAAGTGGGAATCCGATTTAGCTTATGCCATTTCCTCCAACAGCTCTCCTAGTTAAAGTGCTAAGGAAGACCAGCTTGAACTATTGCAAAGTCATCCTATCCGCTTCTGTGGCTGAGATGGGCATGATTCTAGACTCTCCAGTGTATCGGGGAAAGCTCCAATGATGCTTCCCTTCAGGCTGAACCTTCTATCCCAATGACATATCCTGCACCCACAAATAAGGGAGTTACATTTGGTGGCCTGGAAACCAAGTGGAAAATCCTCAAGAGCAAATGACTATCAGGAAAGGTAATCTCCCTCTTCCCCAATGCAGAAAGGTGGTTACTAGAACTGTAAATGGGAAGATTTCTTTAAAAAAAAAAAGTGTTGCGCCTGGACCAGACACAACTTGATTAACCTAGCGAATGCTACTGTTGTCCTAGACATCTTTCAAAAGGGTATAGAAAAGGGCCTCCTTATCAGTAATCTAAAGATGCACATAGTGGCACTATCTGTACACCTTGTCAGAAACCTAACTAGGGACACTGATTAAAAGGGTCTTCAAAGCACTTCACATTCGCAAGGATCCTTTTGGCTTAATCATTACCTCCTACGACCTTTCTTTGGTTCTAGACAATATGACTAAGGCCTCCTTTTGAACCAGTGGAGGGAGGAGTAGTTGAAAGACTTGCCTCCTGAACTTGTGTTCCTTGTGGCAATCACCTTGACTTTCTGATCTCCAAACTCAAGTCTCTTTTTGGTGAAAAAAAATAACTTTTCTTACCTTGTTTCAAAACAAAGTGTTCCTGTTAGGGAAAAAAAGCAGGATCCATTCAAAGGTAATCACTAAATTTCACAGAACTCAGGAGGAGGTAGGCTTGCTATCATTTTAGAAGAATGCCAGGACCACTAAAGGAGGTGCCTTGGTAGATGTATACATATACACTGAGTATACTAGACTTTGGACAAGTCACTCTGCTTTACGGCCCTAACAGAGAGAAGCATCTAAAGCCTCCACAGCCTGTGACTTGCATGGGAATCGATATGGCTTATTTTTCGACAGGTAAGCCTTATCCCCTAAGGATCACAGCTTACTCAGCTAGAGTATTGTCTACACCTTGGACTCAAAGGAACAGTGCTTTAGCTGAGCAGATTTGCAGAGTGGCCACCTTGACAAGTTTCAATACTTTCGTAAATCACTTCTATTGCATTGACTCCCTCTCTGGTCAACATAAAGCCTTTAGAAGAAAGTTGCATCAGGGTGTTTCAAGCACTGGTCCTATCCCAGTTAGCATCTTGCTATTCTCTCCAGTCATCCACCCTGGAGGATGGCTTGGGAAAACATGTAATTACCTTTTTATAACTGCTTTTCCAGGAGTCCTCCAGGATAGTTGAAATCCCACTCTTATTTTGTCATTTTGTTTAGTACCTTTTAGTGCAGTTATCTTGTTGGCTCTGGGGCACCCTTTGAAATTTTTTAGTCTAGTCTTGTGTTTCCTGCAGGTGGGTGAAGACCTCTTCAGTCAGTCATCCTGCAGGATTCCTGGAAAAGGAGTTATGGGGTAATACATTGAGTTTGTGTGTACTTTTCCCATTTTCTGCTGAAATTTTAGAATGGGCCAAACAATTGGGGAAAAATTGTGATATGTTATAAACTTACCACAGATAAGGCAAATGTTTTCAGAAAAACACATTTAAAGAGAGCCTGTTCTCAAAAATAAAGGAGCTTGGAGTATAAAGTGAAGGTATGTTGAGATGTGGTTTTTTTTTTATTTTTATTTTTTTATCATAGCGCCTCTTTAAAAGAAGGCTGTACAGATGAATAAGGGGGCTGCCTTTACTAACCTCTTTTTGAAAATACATTTGTCCTGGATGTCTCTGGCATCTGCACTATGCATTACTAATTTGAGACAAACATTCAGCCTGTGAAATCTGTGTTCCTGACATTTATGATTGGTTCAGGTCTGTAACTCATAAAATTGAACAGGTGAATTGGCATGACAACCAGGCAACTAGCATTTTTCGTTATGAGAAGTCAAAATAACAGCATACATATTTTTCTCAGAGCAGACTACCTTTAAGAAACATAAACCTAAAATCTGCAGAGCTAAGCAATAAGTGAACTGAATTTAGTTCTATCCAAGAAGGTATATGTATACACTGTTTTTATGTCTTTATAATAACTTTACAAAGAAGACATTTAAGCTGACCTATCATTTAGAACTGTCACTTCTGATTTAACATTATTATAAAAACTGCCCAAGAAGACATTTGCAGAAATACATGCTGTCTGATTTTAGACTTAAACACCTTGTCAGCCCTGGAGATATTTTATTAATTTTTACCAATGTTCTGAACCTTCTTTCCTGAATGTGCATTCAGGGTCCTAAACACACTTGTAGCACTTGGCACAGCATTTAGTCCCATCCAGCCACAGCCTGCCATAGACTTTGACAGGCTACCTGCAGCTTTGCTGGATGCTGCATCTGTCCTTCCTAGGTATGTTAAAAAGATAGGACTGACACAATGCTCCTAGACTGCCCCGAGTGCATGGGCCATAAGTGTGGGGCCTGAAGTTTCTTTTGTATTAATCTGGAAAGCCCTCAAAGAAAATGGGGAAGAAATGCAATAATAGATCTTGATATGATGCTTGCTGCACTGAGGATAATTTTTCCATTTATGTATGTTTGCTTTTCTTATTTTTAGTACAAGCAGAATCAAGCTGTGCCAATGCAGTGTCTTCAGCACCCTGCCAGGTTGACCCACAACAATATGAATTGCAGTTTGCACGACTTCGAAATTTCCTTTCAGGTGGGTAGTTTTAATACTTGATATGCCTATAAAAATTCAGAAAAAGTTTAAATAAAAATATACCCACATTTACAGAGCAGAGAGGAAATGAGATATGCTTGCCCCACTTACCGCAGCATGGAACAGTAGTGATCAAGGAATGTTTTCTACCTGCTTTATCATTTGCTCCCTGATGACAGCTAGTGGTGTCTGGAAAAAGACATAAACATGGGATCACTGCATGATTTGGATGAAAAACACTTGGTACACTGTCTCCTTTGTGGGGTGAATGGAAAGTGGTGGGCAGAGAACGGATGGAAAAATATTGTACTCTCATAACTGTATGTAGCTAACCTCTGTAATGATAGGATCATTATATAAATTTCTTCCTTGTTTTCACATGATGTATTTTTATCCACATTTACATGCAGGCCAAGCAGTCTGCCAGAATTTACCGTAACAGGAGTTTGGGAAAACTATAAAAACTCACAACAGTATGCTTTTAGTTATTACTTTTATTATTATACAGGATTTAAATAGCGCCAAGAGTTTGCTCAGCGCTATATAACAATACAGCAACATTACAGTTCAATACAAGAGGGTTAGGAGGGCCCTGCTCCTTGAAGCTTACAATCTAAGAGGGAGGGGCTAGTGGTAGAAAAGGTAGTATCTGTGGGGGATGGACTGGTGGGAGGAGTAGAAGATTCCATTATTAGCTGAGGGCAGGATGGGCTTCCCTGAAGAGGTTTTCAGAGATCGCCTAAAAGTGAGCAGAGTAGGCAATAGTCTAATAAAGTGGGGTAGAGAGTTCCAGAGGATGGGGGAGGCTCTGGAGAAGTCCTGGAGATGAGCATGGGAGGAGGAGACAAGGGAGCTAGAGAGCAGGAGGTCGTGCGAGGAGTGGAGACTACGGTTTGGGTGATATTTGGAGACAAGATTGGTGATGTAATTTGGGGCAGAGTTATAAATGGCTTTATATGTTATTGTTAATGTTTTGAATTTTATCTGTTGGGAAATGGGAGGCCAGTGGAAGGATTGGCAGAGAAGAGGTGGCAGATACTACTTTGTGAAGTAGTACTGCTTGGACCTTGAAGAAGGGGACATACCCTGAAAGCTTTTCCTAAAAATTGTATGTTAGTGCAAATAAAAAAAAGTATCGCAGACAGTGCTCAATTGTTTCTGTCGCAAGTGCACTAATACGGTTACAATCACCTTAACCAATCTCAGAAGTCTGTCAAGGGGGGAAAAAAAAGGTGAGTTAGAACTTTGGTTCCTGAAGAGAACTCCAGTTTAATTCGTATTGCTGAATTTTGGCTTAATTCTTCATATAATTGGCCTGTTGATATTCTTGGCTATGCTCTCTTTTGGATAGAGCAAGTAGAATGAAAAAGTGACGGTGTCTGTATGTAAGAAGTGATCTAAGGTTCCATGCACACCGGGCATTTGCCCAGCTCTTCTAAATGCCAGGAGAAAAGCAGTGTCAAAAACACACCTAAATCCGCATTTTTGAAACTGCATTTAGTCACATTAAACCATGCCAAGTGTTTGGGCATTACTTTTGTTGCCAGAATATGAATTTATTCTGGCCATTGAAATGAATGTGACTGACGCTCCAAGTGCTTAAGTGCATTTATATACGTTTATGCACGCTAGGCATTTTTTTTTTTTCTTGGCAAAATGCTGCAGCTCCTGAACATGCCGGAAGTGGGGTTTATTTTCTGCCTCTAAACACCCTTGCCATTAAATGCCTGTAAACTCCTATGTGTGCATGGACACATAGGGGTTTGTTTTCTAAAGCTTTAGAGTTCAAAATTGGTCTCACTTCTGCAATGAAACCAATCGGTTCTAACCTCAGCTGTTCAACTGAGCTTTGGCAATAAAACCTGGAAGCTGATTGGTTTCTATGCAGAAGTGTGCCTGATTTTGCACTCTCAAGCATGTAGTAAATAAACCCCACAGAATAATGTTGAGGGACGTTTAGAGGCAGAAAAAAAAAAAACACAACGCCTCTAAAAGCAGCGTTTAATCATCCTGTGTGCATGAGACCTAAAACTGAGTCTGAAAGAGAACCTGTTATATGGACAGTAGGATGGTGCTGAGGTTTTTTGGTTGGAGCTGCATATGAATGTGCTTACTTCATAGTCAATTGTGGTATTTTGTTACATGAATCCGCCAGTGATGATAAGAAGGTAGACACTCTGCTCCTTACACAGATAAAAATGGCTGGGACAGTGGTAATGGGTGTATTGACACTGCTGGAACAGTTAGAGCACCACTTATGTACATTAGCCTCCAGGTGCATTTCTGTATATTGCACTAGCTCAGTCTGCATACTTTCTGGTGCCTCTTTCTAAGGGCAATCCTATCCTTCCTTTTTTTTTTTTTTTTTTAAGAATTGTCCTTCTACCTCCTAAAAATGTCCCTGGGATTGACCCAAAAAAAAACCCACTGTATATAAGGATTATTAGTAGCTAACACATTTAGCATCAATATTACATTTAGCAAAGCGCATTTAAAGCGATTGTAAAGGCAATATTTTTTTTCTTTTAAAGTAACAAACCTGCTCTACTTACCTGCTGTGTGCAGTGGATTTGCAGAGCAGCCGGATCCTCCTCTTCTCAGATCCCTGGCACTCCTGGCCCCTTATTTTGAGTGCCCCCAAGCAAGGCTCGGCCCCCTCTCCCTCCTCTTTAGCTCGCTGACTGTAATTGAAAGCAGTGGGAACCAATGGCTTTGGCTGCTGTCTTAGCCAGTGAGGAGAGGGAGTCCCGGGATAGCCGAGACTCCAGTGCACATCGCTGGATCAAGAGGGGGGCTTAGGTGAGTTTTGGGGGTGCTGGGGGGGATTGCTGCACAGAGAAGATGTTTTATCTTCATGCATAGAATGCATGAAGGTAAAAAACTTTTTACCTTTACAACCACTTTAAGAAATCATTTAAAAAACATGGTAACCTGGTCCAATTAAACTAATGTTTGGTAAACTGTTAGTCTACATAGATTGGCTGCATGCTTTTAGGTATTGACTGACATATACGGCTGACATATACTGCAGATTCAAAGATGGCACACTTTGTGTAGGGTGGGCTTCAAGCTATGGTTTTTGGAAAGAGGGTGGGTTTTGTGACATAGAAAAGCCCAACCTCTTAAAGGATAAGTTCACCTTCGGGAACATGTTGCTTTTTCCACCTGTTTTTAGAGCTTCCTGCGCTTCAACACCCACCCACCCCCTCCCACAGAGAGAACACAATAGCTCCGTGGGAGGGATTCACCCATAAACACTGACTGTTTTGATGGGGAATCAAGCGAATTGACCCATAGTTACAGGAAAGAAAATCGCATCTATGGCCTACCTAAGCCAGTCTTTCTCAACTTTTTTTTTTTACTCTTGAGGAACCCTTGAAGAATGTTTCACGTCCAAGGGAACCCTGAAATCCTCTGCAATATTGGCAGAGCCCCACTTGGGAAACCCTGTATTACACTGCACTACCAGTTGTATTTATGGTTTTAAATTCTAAATGTCTGTTGTATACCATAAAAAAAAAAAAAATTTGTGTGTATGATAGATATAGAATTATTTCCATATATATTTGGACATAGGCACAATTTTAGATTTTTTCAGGTATTTACCAAAACTTATTAAAGCTATAGTTATATAATGGATATGGGCTGAAATTGGAGGAAGGGTTTAGGAATAACAGCTCTTAAGAGTAGCCATTCCCCCTTTTTCAAGAGACCAAAAGTAATTGGACAATTGAATCAAAAACTGTTTCATGACCAGGTGTGGGCTACGCTTTCGTTATTTCTTCATCAATTAAGCAGGTGAAAGGTCTGGAGTTTATTCTTAGTGTGGTATTTGGAATCTATTGTTGTGAAGCTACATCATGCGTTCAAAGGAGCTGTCCATGCAAGTGAAACAGACCATTGTAGGGCTTCAAAAACTAACCAAATCCATTAGAGAGATAGCAGCAATATTAGGAGTGGCCAAATCAACAGTTTGGTACATTCTGAGGAAAGAAGAACGCACTGGTGAGCTCAGCAATATAAAAAGGCATGGACGTCCATGGAAGACAACAGTGGTGGGTGATTGCAGGATCCTCTCTATGGTAAAGAAAAAACCTATTCACAACATCCAGACAAGTGAAGGACACTCTCTCCAGGAGGTGGGCGTATCATTTGTCAAAGTCTACAATCAAGAGAAGACTTAACGAGACAAATAGAGGGTTCACCACAAGGTACAAACCATTCATAAGCCTGAAGAATAGAAAAGTCAGATTAGACTTTGCCAAAAAACATCTAAAAAAAAAGCCAGACCAGTTCTGGAAAAGCATTCTTTGGATGGATGAAACTAAGATTAATCTGTATCAGAATGATGGGAAGAAAAAAGTGTGTAGAAGGCTTGGAACAGCTCATGATCCAAAGTGCACAATGTCATCTGTAAAACATGGTGGAGGCAGTGTGATGGCATGGGCATGCATGGCTTCCAGTGGCACTGGGTCATTGGTGTTTATTGATGATGAGACAGAAACAGTTGGATGAATTCTGCAGTGTTTAGAGATATACTAATATATTAAATAAGCGTGTATGTGATATTTATCAACACCTATTAAATTGCGCTTAGTGTATCAAACATATTCAACAAATATATATATTAATAAAAAAACTGCTGCCACTTTAAACAAACCATAATAAATGAGTGAATAAAACACAAAGTGTTATAGTGGCGCTAAATTAATAGTGATGGGGTGATATAGTGACTACAACACAATAAAATGTGAATAAATTAATAAATTGATATCAGTGAATTACTGTGAATACAAAAATTATATATAATAATCCAAAAGTCCACAGAAAGTGTTCCCCCAAATATAAGCGGATTCTAACCAATGGGCTACAACCATCATGCAGGTATAATGGTTCAAACTATTAAGGATATCATACAAGCATGATGTAAAACAAAAAGCAGAGAGGCGCTCCAATGGTGTAGTATTAAAACCAAGATCCTTTATTAATCCAAATGGACATTACTCACAAGCAAACAGTAGTAAAAAGCCCAGTATCATATTACTGAATAAGCCTGGAGTGACAGAAGACCGTGGGTGCTCTCACCACCTCCGGATTACTGTTCACTGACGCCGGCACATCACTTCCGGTTTCGGTCAACATCACTTCTGGTCGCCGCACCGCCACGCTCTGACATGTTTTCACTTCCGACTTACTCATAGGGGTCTATGAGTAAGTCAGAAGTGATGAAACGCATCAGTGCGTGATGGTGCGGTGACCGGGAGAGACGCAACAGCGTCAGTGAACAGTAATCCGGAGGTGGTGAGAGCACCCATGGTCTTCTGTCACTCCAGGCTTATTCAGTAATATGATACTGGGCTTTTTACTAATGTTTACTTGTGAGTAATGTCCATTTGGATTAATAAAGGATCTTGGTTTTAATACTACACCATTGGAGCGCCTCTCTGTTTTTTTATTTTACATGCTGATCATGGGAAAGAGGAATATCATGCTTGTATGATACATAAGCATTGGAATGTATGGAATCCTTAATAGTTTGAACCATTATACCTCCGTGATGGTTGTACCCCATTGATTATAATCCGCTTATATTTGGAGAATTATTCTTTGATGCCTGCTTTGCCAACCACGAAAGTACTATTGGTGAGTACACATCCGTGGGGGGGGGACACTTTGAGGCAGTTGGTTATTATTAGACAGCACGTGGTGGATTCCAAAGAAGGAGGAACAATTTGAACAATTTCTGTGGACTTTTGGATTATTATATATAATTTTTGTTTTCACAGTAATTCACCGATATCATTTTATTGATTTATTCACATTTTATTGTGTTGTACTCACTATATCACCCCATCACTATTATTTTAACTCCACTATAACACTTTGTATATCTCTACATGAGTGAATAAAACAACACAGTCAGCCCAGATTCAGCCAAATACAGCAAAGTTGATTGGACAGCGCTTCACAGTACAGATGGACAATGATCCAAAACACTCTGCAAAAGCAACCCAGGAGCTTTTGAAGGAAAAGAAGTGGAATATTCCTCAATGGCCTGAGAGTCATTCACCTGATCTCAACCCAATTGAGCATGCGTTTCATTTACTGAAGGCAAAACTAAAGGCAGAAAGACCCACAAACAAAGAACAACTGAAGACAGCTGCAGTTAGAACCTGGCAAAGCATTAGAAAGGAGGAAACCCAGTCTTTGGTAATGTCCATGGGTTCCAGACTTCAGGCAGTCATTGTCAGTAAAGGATTCTCATCAAAATATTAAAAATGAACATTTTATTTGATTATATTCATTTGTCCAATTACTTTTGGTCCCTTGAAAAAGGAGGGATGGCTACTCTTAAGAGCTGTAATTTTATAAACCCTTCTTCTAATGTGGATGTACATAGCCTCAAATTTAAACCCGAGCGTGTACACTTTCAGCTCATATCCATTATATAACTATAGCTTGTATATGTTTTGGTAAATACCTGAAAAAAACTAAAATTGTGCCCGTGTCCAAATATATATGGACCTAACTGTGTGTGTATGTGTGTGTATATATGTATGTGTAGGTGTATGTATATGAGAGAGATAGATATATTTATTGTGAGCAAGATATTTACCATCAGACGTGGAAGACCTTCTTTGCATGGTGCAAGGACAGAAGTCTTAACCCTGCGGAATACATACTCATATATTGACCAGCATCTGGTCTAGAGTTCCCTTTAAGGGACAGGTTTTTCCTTTATCCTCTTCCAACAGTCTCTTGCATTGCAGTCCCTTATCAAAACCTTTCTAAAGGGAATTGCTTATATAATTCCGTATAATTTTCCCAATTCGACCTCCTGTGTTACCTTGGGATCTCAACCTGGTGCTCTTCAGGGACCCCCTGTTGAACTAAGTAGACATTTTACTGGAGAACCTCACCTTTTTTCAGGTTGCCATCACATCTGTTAGGCATGTTTCTGATATTAATGTCTTTTTCCTAAAGAGCTTTTTTTATGTTTTGTACAATGACTGTATGGTTTTAAAGGATACATTCATCTTTGGAAACATGTTACACCTTAATTACAGATGTAACATTACCAAAGAACACCTGCCTGTGCCCCTCTGATCCCTCCACTGTGATAGCGGTTGGGGTTCCTCTTCGCACCCACTGTCACAATTTAAAGAGTGCTGACGTACAGGGCTCCGCTCACACGACTATGTCATTCATTCACAGCAGTCTATGAATGAATGAAGTACAATTAACATTTGCCATCACAGCAGATGGCTTATAGTTCTCAATTAACTATGAGGGCAGTAGCGAATTCATTGATCTTCCTGCTCTCCAGTAACTGTCTGCCCATACCGGAGGTGATTACACCCGTTTAACACCTGATAAATGCATGTACAAGCTATTGGGATTTGAGCATAGGTATATCTTGTTTCTGGTGCAAAATATGACATGGGAATTGCCTTAAATTATTTGGTTGTGGTTAGTGTTGTCAGTCTGTATGGCAGCCACAGCCTCTTTTTGCAAGAGGGCACCCTGCTTACTGTTCCACCATTGACAGGTGGATCAGAAAACTCATCCACGTCCTTAAGGAAAAGGTTCCTCCCTTTCCCATCAGAGCCCATTTCACTGGGGCTATTGGTATCTCCTGGGCATTTCAATCATCTGGCATCTATCTCAGATTTACTAGGTCTCCAACTGGTTTTCTGCTCACACGGTTTCCAAGTACTACCAGGTAGACCATTCAGGCCTCAGCTGATGCAAACTTTGGCCACAAGGTGCTTCAAGTTGTTATCTAAGTATTTTGTTCAGGTTCTTTAAACCCTTGTGTTGGTTCTGGACCCATTGGCAGTTCTGTGCTTCTATATTGTTATTCACCCTTCAGCTTTATTAGTTGGGTACCTCCTGTAGTCTATGAAGTCCTGTTCTGTATGATTAACATAAGAGAAATTTTAACTTGATTGGAAATTTCTTATCTAAGATTACAGTACAGGACACCAGTCTCTGCCCTGTCTGTTTTGATAACTTCCTTTTGCTTACTAAGAAAAATAAAGCCTCAAAGAATGAGTGGGATTACAGTTAGGTGCATATATATTTGGACACGGACACAATTTTAGTTTTTTCAGGTATTTACCAAAACATATTCAAGCTATAGTTATATAATGGATATGGGCTGAACGTGCACACCGTCAGTTTAATTTGAGGGTATGTACATCCAAATTGGAGGAAGAGAAAAGTTTGCCTTTTTTTCTATTTTAAAGTGATTTGTAAAGGTTCTGTTATTTTACAAAAAAACATGCTATACTTACTACTACTGTGTGTAGTGCCTTTGCACAGAACAGCCTGGATCCTCCTCTTCTCTGGCCCCCCACAGGCTCTCCTGGCTCCTCCTGTCTGTCGGGTGCCCCCACAGCAAGCAGCTTGCTAAGGGGGCACCCGCTGCTCCGTGTGTCCAGTCACATACATGGAGCCGTGGCTTGGTCCCTCCCCCTCTCTCCTCTTTGACTGACAGGCTGTGATTGATCGCTGCCTTAGCCAATGAGGAGGCAGAGACCCGGGACAGCAAAGGCTGTCATTCACATCTCTCGATCGCGATGAGGCTTAGGTAAGTATTGAGGTGGCTGGAGGCACTGCTGCACACAGAAGACTTTTTACCTTCATGCATAGAATGCATGAAGGTAAAAAACCTTCTGCCTTTACGACCACTTTTTATGTAAACTAAAACTGATTTTTTTTTTTTTGTCTGTTTCTTTGTCAAATAAAACGTGTGTGCGTGCACATAATAAACATATACACAAATATTTTTCATAAAATACTGAAAATAAAAACTTTGGTCTCCATCAGGAAAGTTTTGAATACTCCCTGAATGTAAAGAGGTTGAGCTACAAAAAAAAAAACAAACCTGCATTTCTTCAAAAGTCTAGACATGGTAGAAGAAGGCTTATGATGTTCTGTTGCAAATATTGGCCTTGTTTCCTGAAGGTGGAATCTCATCCGCATCTTCTGTGCCGTACTGTTGGTCAGTGAAGATGACCATAACTGTAATGTATAAATAGTGAGGCATAAAAAGGGCAGTGTTACAACTTACGAACTGAGTTAGTATTGCATAATTGAACACCAATGGTTTTGAGGCTGCCAGGGAACTTGTGTTCAACTGAGCATGTTCTGTAATGCTTTCAAAAGAACAGGATCTTAGGATAAATCTCTCTAATGTAGTCCCAGAAAAAACAGTAAAAACCTGAAAGGGGTTTTAATCCTTCCCCACTCTATTCAAAACTAGAACAAAAGCTTTCAGTTTGACATAGAGATTTTAGAATATGTAAATTATTATTTTTTTTTTTTTAATTGCAGAAGAAAATTGTCCTTATAGTCAAGATGTGACATCTCTACTATATCCTCTATTTGTCTACCTCCACCTGGACATGGTCCAAAATAGCCTTAAAAGCATGGTGGATAGCTTCTACAGTCGCTTTCATGGCATGTTCCTTCATCATCCAGCACAGAAAGATATAATTGAACAACTTCAGACTACCATGACCATGCAGGATATTCACTCAAACTTCAAACTGCGAGCATTTCTAGATAACAAGTATGTGGTCCGCCTGCAAGAAGACAGCTACAACTACCTTCTGCGCTACCTTCAAAGTGATAACAATAGTGTCCTTCTCAAGGCCCTCACTCTGCACATTCAACTGGACGTTCAACCTGTCAGACTCACAGAGTACCAGTTGTATACAAGTGATACATTTTCTTCAAGAGGAGAGAGCAACAGCCTTGATACACAGGATGTTCCAGCCCCTATTCTGCAAAATGAAGCAGCTCTTGAACAGCTGCAAGACTGCATAAAGAAAGTCAAAGATGGGCCACCTTCATTGACAACTGTGTGTTTTTATGCATTCTACAACACTGAAAACTTGCTCAATACAGCTGAGATCTCTCCTAATGGCAAACTTCTGGCTGCTGGATTTGACAACTCTTCTGTGAAACTCTGGAGTCTGAGATCAAAAAAATTGAAAACACAACCACACACAGTCAATGTTTCTCACATACGACTGGCTTGTGATATCTTAGAAGAGGAGGTATGATTATCTGCATATATAGTTAACTAGTTTCAGAGATGATTCACATATGTACGGTGCAGATTGAAGCTCAGGTTTCACAGCTAATTGTCACAGTAGCTGTCCACCGGTTCAGATCAGGTTCAGGACAGGATCAGCTCAGGATTGTATCCTGTTCAAACCTGTCAGGTTTAGAAACGGTTCCCATAGAAGTCAATAACCTGTAGTCTGCACCTGAACTGGACCGCACTGCTCAGAAATCGTACATTACTTTTTTAAACCACACTGATCTGCACCACCAGTACACCGGACATATGTGAACAGGCACCATAGGAAGCAATGTTATTTCACATTGCATGTGGATTGGATGCAGTTCAAACTGCATCCAATCTGCATATATATGAACAGGCACTCAAGGTACTACTTTGAAACCATATCTAAAACTAAAATGTAATTTTGCAGCTTACCAATCCTTAAATGAGGTGACTGCCTTAGTTTTCTCTTTTTATTAAGTTTTTTTTTTTTACCTGGTGATTTTGTCAGGATGTGTTTTTCCAACTTCCTTTTAACAGACCTGCAAAAGTAGCAATTAGAGGTCAAGACAAACCATTTCACATTGACAGGGGTATTTACCATGGCCATCTTTTATCCATTTATGTGAAACCTTTTATCCCAGAAGAGCAAAAAAAAACCTGTTGCAATTAAAAAAAAGTGTTAGCTGGAGTTCAGCTTTAATTTGTTTTAGTCAAGTTAATTTACGTTTGCTCTTGCATCTAACGCTATTCTCCCCGTATGTTAACAGTTCTGCTGTATATCCTTTGCTCCCCCATAACCACTCTAAGGTCTCGTTTAGACTACCAGTTGGAGGGTAGCAAAAATGTGTGGTTGAGCCTTGTTTTTGCTGCCCTTTAACCACCCCCCTTAAGCTGCAATAGGCAGTAGACGGGACGTTTTCATGCCACAGCTGTGATGCTTCGCGACAACGACAGAGTTGACCTGACACATGTCATTAGGCGGGTGGCAAGCCCACTGAACGCTACACATGCAAGGCAATGAGAAAGCACCACAAACGCCCCAAAACCGCATGCAGTTGTGCTGCAATTATCGTAGGGGCTGAAACAATTAATCGACATAATCGATTATGAAAATAGTTGTCAACTATTTGTATAATCAATTAGTTAGTCAGCCAGTTAGTTGGCCTGCGTACAGAATGCATTATTTGTTTACATATCACAAAATACAGTGCAGAACACATATAGCTCTGTACATCCTTCATACACGTCTGTATACACTTTGCAGCACCACACATACAGCTCCTCCGTACACCAGCCATACATGTCAGTAAGGTCTGAGAACATGTGAATGTGTGAGGAGCAGTGCTTGTGGGACATGTAGTTCTGGGCAGGACAAGGAAGTGAGTGATTCTAAAGGCAGACGTGTTTTTTTTTTTTTTACCTTGCTATAAGGCAGGGGTCTTCAAATTTTTCAAGCAAAGGGCCAGTATACTGTCCTTCAGACTCGAGGAGGGCCGGATTAGGGCCAGTGAGGATAGAATGTCCTGGCCCCAGCATCAGTGAGAATAAACATGGCCTCAGGATTGTTAGTCAGGATGAGAAGTAGTGCCCCACCATTGGTATTAGTGGGAAGAGTTGTACACCATCATTGGTTTCATGTGAAGAAGTACTACCCCATTGTTGGGGAGGAATAGCACCACAGGGGCTGGATAAAAGGTAACAAAGGGCCACATCCTGCCCTCGGGACACAGTTTGGAGACCTCTGCTATAGGGGCACTCCATACTATACCATGTGGCTTGCCATAGTGGCACTCTATACTATACTATGTGACTTGCTATAGGGGAACTTTGAAGTGCTGATGGGGGACCCCATAAGAGGATAATCAGGGCTGCTCTCTGCAAAACCATTGCACAGAGCAGGTATGTATGACATGTTTAAACCTTGTATGTTTTTTTTTTTTTTTAACTACAATCACTTTAAGCACTCTGTGCAGCGCAGATTAGCATCTGAACACAGAGACTGGAGGCTGATAGACTGGAGGTAATAAAAGGCATCACAAAGTAATATAAAGTAAAAGTTTACCAGTACTGTGCATTATATGTAAAATCGTTATATCCATTTAAAAAAAGTCTCAGCCTTTAGTACTACTTTAAAGTGTTACCAAACTCAGGACCCTGCATTCAATATATCCGTTCTCCCACAGTACACACAACATGGAAATGCAAATATTTTAATAAATATAAACTGCTAAATATCTTTTTCTCATCAGCAGTTAGAGCAGTCTTGTGACTTCTATTAGTGTCAAGCTTTTAGCAGGAGTTTTCATTCTCCTCTGACTATCCTATGAGGCTGCATAACCCCTGACCCTCTGATCAGCACAGGGCTAATCAGCGCTGTCCAGACAAACGCACTCTCAAAAACATCCCCCAAAACACTCTAGCAATACACACCAAACTGAGCATGTACAGCTTGCCCCAGGGCTCTGTTCTACCACACCTTTGGATTGAATAATGTTTGATTTCATTATTTCTCACTTGTTTGCCAGCTTCAACTTACCTTGGAGCACTTAAAGGGCATGCCTCTAGTGCTAACTCTAATTTGCCAGTGTGCTATGTCAGCTGATAACCAAACTTCCAGGTCCTCAAATGGCTGGGGTCATAGCTGATTACATGTGCAGCAATGTGGCAACTGCAAATTTTAAAAAAAAAAAAAAGATGGTGCTATCCTTCGCTTGAAAAGGATAGAGGGATTTAGATAATCTCCCTGTAAAGCAGAACTAAACCCTCCTACCTTTACAACCTAGGTGGCACCATATTGGCCTCTATTTAGATCTGCAGTTGCTATGCTTTTGCATGTGATCAAATACGACACCAGCCATTTGAGGATTCCGAAGTCTGGTTGGGCGCTGATATAAGCATGCTAGCAAATGTAACTTATCATGAGCACACTGAAGGACGAAACGCTCAGTTCACGACCCTCACATGTTGGCTTGTTGCAAGGACATGAAAACCGTGCTGAAACTTGGCATCCAGTTTTCATGGTCTAAGTAGGACGTGAGGGTTGCTAACATCTTTCCAGACAAACTTCTGAGGAACCCAAATTGCCTACAGATATGGCAATAAAATTAATAGAACATCATACAAAGCTGCACAGCTTTTTAATAACTACTCGGTCCCTGTGACTGCAAAGACTATTTACTGGAAAAGGTGAACTTTGCCTTTAATGTAACTGTTTTGAGAAATTGTTAAAATGGTGGGTTTATTTCCACTTTACTTTGCAATGCCCAGCTAATTAGAGTTCACTCCTTATATTTCAGTTTTGAGTGCTATGTTCTATGTGCTATTCTAGTCTGCATGTCCTGTATTAGTGTGACATGCAAGTAAGCATTTAGTTATTGAATAAAGGGAAAAATTAAAATGATTTCTTTCCAGTGTTTCTAAGGTCAGGCTATGTTAGGTGAACAGTTGACTTAAAAATAATTAAATTACTGCTTCTGCTGTTTGCAATTATCAGGTTTTTTTTTTATAGATTGTGTCAATGATCTTGGCAAGGATATTCCTACTACAGTATTCTATATTGACATACCCAGAGAAACAGAATTTTGTTTGGAATTCTGTAAAGCAAATCTATCAGGTTAAAGCTTGATTCAAGACTGTTCTTTTTAATACTTTGACAAAAATATGGCGGAGTTAAAAAACAAAAGTATAATAATATATCGCAGCTCACCAATTAGATGTGGTGGCTGCATTAGTTTTTTTTTTTTTTTTTTTTTTTTGGTCTTCCCCCTCCCCCCCTCTGTTTTTTTTACCTTTTTGTGTGCCTCCACTCTGGATGAATGAGCACAGGGGGCACATTTGGACAGCAGCCTTGTCAGTCTGGGGGATGAGGAGTGTTAGATGTACTAGCAGATTTAAGTACATTAACAAATTGAAGCCAAATCCCAGCTAATACTTTATAAGCAGTTAAAGCAAACAGCTTTTTTTCCCATTTGGGATAAAGGTTTTCTATAAATAAAAGCTGATCTTTGTAAACACCACTGCCAGTGTTAAATATTTTGTCTCATCCCTGTAACTACAAGAGAGCTTGTTCTTTTGATAAACAACAGACTGGCTGGCCAGATTACCTGATGAAAATAGAAGGAAGAAAGCCTTAAAAAGAAAAATTATATATAGCCATCACATCTAAAAAAAAAAAAAAGCAATTTTTGCTTTTGGGTTTATTACTTCTTTAAATCGGACTCGTATAAAATCTGCATTGCTCACAGCATTGACCTTTTTGTTTACCTTTTTTTTTTTTTTTTTGTGTAGGGTGAAGATGAAGATCAGGCTGGTAGTGAAATGAAGATACTTAGAGGACACTGTGGGCCAGTTTACAGTACCCGTTTCCTTTCCAATAGCTCTGGCCTTTTGTCATGCTCTGAAGATTCATCCATTCGCTTTTGGGACCTTAAAACCTACACAAACAGTGTCCTGTATGAAGGCCATGCATATCCAGTGTGGGATTTAGATGTTAGTGCCTGTAGCCTTTTTTTTGCAAGTGGTTCTCATGATCGCACAGCCAGATTGTGGTCATTTGATAGGACATTTCCTCTCAGAATATATGCAGGCCATTTAGCTGATGTTGACTGCATTAAATTCCATCCCAACTCCAATTATCTTGCCACAGGATCTACTGATAAGACAGTTCGATTATGGAGCAGTCAGCAAGGAAACTCTGTACGACTCTTCACAGGACACAGAGGGCCTGTGCTTGCCCTTGCTTTTTCCCCAAATGGACGGTACTTAGCCTCAGCTGGGGAGGATCAACGTCTTAAATTATGGGATTTGGCATCAGGGACTCTCTATAAAGAGCTGAGAGGGCACACTGACAATATCAACAGCCTTGCATTCAGTCCAGACAGCAGCTTAATTGCTTCTACATCTATGGATAACACTGTCCGCGTATGGGATATTCGAAATACTTATTGCAATGCCCCTTCTGATGGTTCTTCTAGTGAACTAGTTGGTGTTTACACAGGGCAGACTAATAATGTTTTGAGTGTTCAATTTATGGCATGTAATCTACTTATGGTTACTGGGACAGCACAAGAACATCAGGAACATTGATGCTAGTTTCTACTGAGAACATTAAAAAAAAAAAAAAAGACTAAAATGGATGACTTTTATTCTGAGGTTAATTCACTCCTAGGCATTTTCCAAACTCTTTTGTGTTTGTACGCCATTGAAGGCCTTTGGATTTCCAATGCTTCATGCCTGCAGTGTTATATAGAAAATGAAAATTTAGAGGTTATCTTAAATGTTTCAGAAGGTTTTCCATACATTAAAAGCACATGCAAATACTCTAATATCAAAATAAAGGAGCGGATTTACAAAAAAAGGATCAGGTTACAATGAGCATCTTCCCTTTAGCAAATGCAACTGTCACGTTGACTTTGTTTCTTGTTTTTTTGAGGGACAAAGGACACTTTTGGGTTTGAACACTGGCAAATTAAACTGTAGGCCAGCCCAGGATAACCCCCCTCCTACTACCAGCATGCTCAGTTTTTATTTATTTTTATTTTTTTCCCTTACGCTTTTTTTTTTTTCCTTCAATTATATTGTCTACACTTCTATAGCTGTTCTATGTGATTGCAGCTCTCCATCAAGGCTGTCTTCATCCTGGCTTCCTCCGTGCCATGTTCGGATCTCACTGGACTGACAATTGCTGGGATAGCCTGGAAGTGACCTTCGGGCACTGGGTTCCATGTAGGGCGATTTTTAGAATACCTTCAGGTAAAAAGCCGTGGAGTGCTGTTCAAGTCAAGAACCTCTGGTATTGCCTCAGCGCTTGTCATGTCTAAAGACTCTTTGTAAGTGACTCAGTCAGACCGAGCTCTTGGAGTTTCCTTAAACATATAGGTCGCTGGGCCTCTCTAAAGTTCCCCTTTTCTGCCAGATCCCACTGCGGAAAGGGTTAGCATTGTGCAACTGAGCACTGATTTTATTCACTGGGTGGAGTGCTGCTCTGCACTCTTTCCTGCCATACAGCATTGAGAAACCATTTCCCCTACTTTGCAGAGAGTCACATAGAGCTCCCTGCTGCTTACCTACAATGTTTTGATCACTTCAGGCCATCCAGCACTCACTTGCTACTACCGGTCTTGGTTTTATGGGTACAAGAGGCCTTGACTCGTATCCTGAGCCTTATGTTCCTTTACTGCCACGCAGTCCCAACATGTCAAATTTTGACTTTTAAGCACAGAGGCCAAATGTGAGCCACTGAACCTTCTCTCACAGATTATGCATCTGATCTGCTTGTGCCCCCTGAAAAAAGTGGTCTGCCCCCACTGTGGATCTGGCAGTGTCCTGCTTTAAAACAATCACTATACTGGTGGAGGATGCACCTAGAGATTCACCAAGGTGCTGACCCTGGTATTAGTTTTGTTGTGGCTGAATCCTGAACCTTCAGAAATTGTCTATGGAACAATTCATTGTTTGGAATATCTGTGTCTAGTTCTAAACACAGTGGAGATTGGCAGAGTGTTTTCCCACATGGGGGAAACTTCAAATTCTTCAATTTTAGTTTAGCGCGGGAGTTGTCCGAATCTTCTTTCAAGGCAATCTGTTATCCCAGTTTCACTCCAGACCTCTACAATGCAACTGCTGTCTTGGGAATAGTCAGTCTAGTCTCTGGAAAGACTGATTTGTTTTTCACTGAAGACCAGGACTACATAGTCTGGCTGAACAAAGGGTGTCCTGGCCTGGCGGTTCCTGGAAGATCCTCACGGAAGATGCCATCTTCTCAGGTTGGGCTGGAGTCCTAGGATCTCTCTTGGTACAGGGGACTTGTCATTGAAATTTCACTCCCGATTAACATTTCAAAACTTTGGGTGATCTGGCTGTCTCTGCACGTTGGACTATCCTTCTTGGAGGGTCAACTGATCCCAATTCAGCCAGACAGTGCCACAAGGGCCATAATGCTTTAAGATCACTGGCTTAAATGGCATGTTTTCTAAAGCCTTGATTTTGAAAGACAAAGGCATTTCTGAATCTGTAATGCTAAAAGCTATGAAGGCTAGGTTTAGCATTGGACATGGAAGGCACACTTCGTTTCTGTTCTTTAAGGTACAAACATTCTCTTTCCTGCAGCTGGGTCTGCACCAGCATATGACTCTCTATACTCTCTCTAGGATCCGGTTTCCTCATTTTTCTCTTTTGTTTCAGAGACTATCAGTCTTTAAACCTTTAAGACCTTTGTACAGGTAGTAGCTCATGTAGCTCCCCTTGTTCATTCTCCTCTGAATTGGTGGGATATGAATTTGGTGTTCTATGCTTGAGAAATAGCTGTTTTTAACCAATCAGACACGTCTCTTTATTCTTACCCACAAGGTGGTATTCCTTGTTTCCATTGACACTGTTAGGCAAATAGCTGAACTGGCTTGTTTTCTTGTCTTGCCAAGCGACAAGTTGGTGTTACGACATAGGCTTTCCTTACCTAAGGACATTTTCTTTTTGCCTTCATGGAAACCAGGATATTGCTCATCTCTCCCACTGTCTGGCTGTTCACCCAGAGGAAATTTCCTTCCATTGTCTGGATGAGATTGGGGCTGTGAAAGAGTGCTTCAGTTTCTAGTTCAACTACTACTTCTAGGTGCCTCGTGCTGACTATTTTGCAAACGTATGTGAAATTAACCCTCGCCTAAAAAAAAAAAAAAAATCCTAATTCTATGTAATCCAAATAATTAATGCTGCTGTTCATAGAGTAAAAAACTACCAAACATAAAAATAAAATTACAGCGTAAAAATTAAACAAACAATAGTGATTATATCAATAGTGGTGAGATAATAAAAAGTCCACTGTCCCAAATAAACGGTGATACAGTGTTCCAGTCAAAGAAACGGTGCCAAAAAAACAAATGTATTCCTTTAAACAATATCCCCTCACCATCCGTGATCACCTTCCGGTACAATCCACACTCGCCAGATATGATGGACTCTTAGCTTGTATGGCTTAAGAGCCAAATGAGTTTTTATTGGTGAAGTGTGTTCCCCGGAAAGAACCAGATCAGTGCAGAAATGCTTGCTTGACAATCTCCAACGACCACCATGAGGAAAGTCACTGCACACACAATGCTATGTACAGCGCGTATCAAACAGAGGCAGCTTTCTGTCTCACCACATCCACTGCTGACATCAAGGTGGCCAGCAACTGACTCCACTCCTATATGTGTTACGATCAATAGGCAGCTCTGAGCTGCCAGCACTCCCCAGTTTTCGCTTCCTCAATAGACTCAGAAAAAAGTATTTTATGGTGAGCACAACAATCTTATCTTTCTCCAAAACAAGGTAAAGGTGAACCTTAAGATTTAAAGTAAAAGTAATGTAAAGAGTGGTAAATATGCTTACTTTTCCTGCAGCCCTTCTGTTATACTTCCAGTATTTCACACTTTTGAATGTGTAAAATACCTGGTCTCCACTGCACACAGTGCTTTCTCCTGCTGGTGTGTACATTGGGTGCAAGGGTTGGCAGGAGGAAACTGTGTGTGGTGGGGGGAAGCAAGTATTCAGCTTGCAGTGGGTGGTCACGAGCAAAGCAGCAACACACTGGTTGGTGTAAACGGTAACTATATTCACTTTTTCTCTACATACATATATTCTCTGTATACAAGCAACCATGTGGTTACATTTTAAGACCCCATTTTCCCCAGTGCTAAGCCCTGACAATACCAAAAGCTCAGCAGTCAAAGGAGGATCTGCCATTTAACATCTGAATTACAGTGGGATGGGCACAGTGCTGAGAGATGGGTAAGACCTGGAAGAAAAATTGAGGTCCTGTGTACAGACTGTGCACAAGGGACTCCAGAGTGAGATAGTGGTTCAGTAATTTGGCATATTCTTTGATTATAAAGTCCATGCAAGAAACAATATCTGAATAAATTTATTTTAATTGCATTTAAGACAATTTTACATCAAGTATTTGGAGATCTTGGACCTGGTCCACGGTTGAATTCATTCTGCCCACTGTTTTTCTGCTGAAAGTTCTCCCAAACTCAGCTTTGTAAAATTTTTGGTTGCATCATTTGCCAGGATATTGTGCATACAAATGGTTAAATTTTCATCTAAATAGATCTGCCCTTTTCTCTCACATTAAAGCAGAACTGCCAGTGATAATCAAAATCTTAAAGCGGAGTTCTGCCCCTTTCAACAAAAAAAAAAAAAAATTAACAGCAGCTACAAATACTGTGAAAAAAAAATACTATTAATATTAGGGCACATACCTGTTCAGGGATCCAGTGATGTCTTCATCTCGAGCTGATATTTAAATCGGCTGTTGGGTGCTAGCGCCGCCATCTTGACTAAGGGAAACTGCTGGTTTCCTACTGCACATGTGCGAAGCACGCTGTACTTTGTGAATGGACCGCAGTTCTCTGGGACCTTGGAAGTGCCCCAGTGGGCTGCGGGGGGTCAACTTCCAGCTCAGTTTGTCACAGCGAACTGAGCCAGAAACGAGTGGGTACCTGTCAAAACCAGGTGCCCCCCCCCCCCAAAAGGTGCCAAATGTGGCAGGGGGAGGAGGCAAAAAAGCGGAGCTTCCACTTTTCCACACACATTACAATGTACAGTCTCTTGGATCTAGCAAAAACTGTGTAGTACAGGGACCTGCCTGATCGGATGCAATTGAAAGGTTAGATAGAATAGGTGCTCATATTGAATTACATGTGTGCAAACAAAATTCTCTGGTTTTAATGCAGACTGTTAGAGGGAGTCAAATTGGTTGTTTGTAGGCTGGCTTGTAAGTGTGCTGGGAAATCCTTTGCTTGTTTGTAGTGCTCATATTACATAGTTTTGGTCAATCTAAAGTTGATTGTATGTGCAGATTGTAATGGAGATGGTTACTGAATTTCAGCTTCCTAGTCATATTATCTCCCCCAGCCTACTGATTGGACAGTGGAGGAACACCAGCACATAGATGGCATAATCTCTATTCTTTACACTTCTAAAAGCAGGATTAGTACTCTGCCACCATACACGGTGCAATTGCAGCTTTAAATATGATTTCTGTGCATGACTGCCCATCCATTAAAAGAAAGATTGTTAGACTGCAGTTACAGCACCATTCTACAGAT